CCCCAAAACCCCAAAACCCCAAAACCCCAAAACCCCAAAACCCCAAAACCCCACATCCCAAATAAAATTTTGAAGCACATATTATTTATTTTGGCAACTATTAGTTAGAATAAAATGAATGGGAAAGAAGAAACAAAGCAGCCTGAATCATCCAGGATAGAAGAAACTAAGAAATGCGAATCAGGAGAGATTGACTGAAGTAGTCTCTTTATTGATATTTTAGAGTCAATGCCTCATTTTGATCTTAATGACCAGAATGATACCATTTTTGACCAAAAAGCTTTAGAGACAGCTAATCCTTCAAAGAACTTCTATGACTCTTTAGATGATCTTCTTGATGAAGACTTCCACGGTTTTGAGTAAGATAAACAACTTTCTAACCTAAAATAGGGGTGAGACTGTGAAATCAGAAAATAACAGAGCTCAGGGCGGGTACAGAAAGAAGCTAAGTAGAGTTCAAAGCTTGACCTTTATTCAAAGTCACGACTTCTTCCAAACTTGTAATGACCTTCCTGCTTTTGAAAAGTTGGTAAAGGATAACCCCTTGGAGAACTTAATGTCTGAGAGACAGAAAAGTCCGAATGTACCTAAAGAAGAAAAAGCTATCAACACTTCTCAAGATAAAGAGCCAACAGGGAGTGACAAAGTAACAGACTTAGTTAATTGCCCTATCTGTTTAGATATGATAGAGGATGCTACAGAGACTCCTTGCTGACATAACATATTCTGTGAGACTTGTATTTCGAAGACAGATAAGTGCCCAATCTGTCAGTCTGAATATTATGCATACCAATTAACTCCAAATATTCCAATGAGAAGATTAATCAATGAAATTTTGATGAAATGTAAAAATGAGGGATGAGAAACTGAGTGCACCAAAGCCAACCTTGAAAAGCACTTAGAAGTATGTCTCTACCAAGAGGTGTTCTGTCCTAATAGCCCTGAATGCCCAAAAATATTAAGACTAGACCTAGAAAATCATACGACTAAAATTTGTGAGTTCAGATTTGTGGATTGTGTTCTGAATTGTGGTGTAAAGATCAGGACTCGTGAAATGTACGATCACATCCATAACATCTGCTCCAAGTCATTGATCCCATGTAAGAATAGCTGCGGAGAAGTTATTGAAAGAGGCTCAATGGAAGCTCACACAAATTCAAACTGCATGAATGAAATTATCTTCTGTCAATACAAAAAGACCCACGTCTATCATAATGGATGTGATCTCAAGCTCAAAAGAAGTGAGATGCAAGAGCATCTTCATGAGTGTCCCTTCAGAATTATCAAGTGCCAGAATGAAGGATGTGAGCAAATTATTGCGTTCAAAGACTCAAAAAGACATGATGTAAGATGAAAATTCAAAGTACTCCAGTGCAGAAATGAATGTGGAGAACAATTCAGGAGACAATTTGAAGATGATCATTTTGATAAATGCCCATTGCAAATGATAAGATGTCCCTACTTTGATATGGGATGCAAAACTGAACTTCTTAGAGAAGAGAACCAAGAACATCTCGAAAAGGAAGCTTTCAATCATTCTGCTCTTTTTATTGAAGGACAAAATAAAAAGAATGAAGAAATCAGAACTCTCAAGAATGAAATGGAAGAGATGAAGGAAGAGTATTCAAAGAAATTTAAAGTCTTATTTGAAGCACTTAACTTGGATGAAGAGTAAGTAGCTAAACTTCTGTCTTTCTTGAATATTCCCCATTATTAGATCAGAATTTGGTTCAAAGATAAATAATTATGTACGATTCTCCTACAACTTATTTTACATAATAGTTTACATCTAAACCTATAAACTGTATAGATATGTTCTTGATGATTTTGAATCAGAGGATTAATTCAGATTCAAGTACCAGAAGATACCTCAAAAGAGCAGAGTCTTGGAAAAGTTAGATTAGGTTCTTGACCCAAAATTCTGATTCAATAATAGAATTAAGAATCGGGGTTTTGGGGTTTTGGGGTTTTGGGGTTTTGGGGTTTTGGGG